GGCCATATATGTGCTCATCTTTTAAGACGAATTTTTAACATCATGGAAACAAATACTTTTTAAGAACTATTCACAATTAAGTTGATGTACATATGGCAGAGTGTTTGTTCAGGACCACTGGATAAATAGATGTGGAGATACCTCCGGGGAGGCAAAAAGGCACTCGCTTTTTCCAGAAGCCAGGAAGTGCTGCTATTTTAAGGCCCTTTGAGTAATACCCTGGCTCCTTTGTACAACACTGGACTGCCCAGGAACCAGACCGATTCAGCCCTGTTAGTAGGTCATTTCAGGCTTACAACCTAAAACATATTCAACCCACACCAACCCAACACCTTTCTCACTAAGGACATTAAAGGTGAATTGGTTTCCAGTGGGAGATAAGCAACCATGTGCCCTGCGGGGAAGTAGCCTTATTAGTGGCCATCAGCCACCACCAACTTAATTCCACTTGTGAAAAGGCTGGAAAGAGGTGGAAAGGAAACCCATTATTTTTTGCTAGGTGCATAGTTGAAAAGAATTTCATGTTGTCTTTTCCCCAATTAAAATGAAACAGAAAAGTTGCTTTATTAAATAAAGACCTATTCTATTCTAATGCCTAACGTCAAACTATAACAAGGTGTTAATCTAATTGTAGGAGGGATGGCCCTCATTAACCACAGCATCTGAGCAGGTGGTCCATGTGCTGTCAGATGTCACAGCCGTAGCTCTCAGGCATTCTCACCTGTAGAATGCATGCACACTATCCTTCAGGGTGTATACCCAAACCTGGCATTTTACAGAAGCAAATCTATTCCATCAGGAGGCATTTTTAATTCTCCCAAATATCTTTCTTCCCCTGTACCTGAACCGCATCCTTTCCCAGGCTTCCTTATTGTCATTGCATGTGAAACTGTCGTTCCACCTGAAATACTGGCATGCTAGCCAGAGCAGCATTTCATGAAAAACAGAAGCACATTTTTAAAATTTAAAAAGAGAACGAGCTCAACCACAATAAATTCATATGGGATTGGATTCAATTTACATGTTACATGAATCATTAGGAATTTATTATTTACAAATTCCTGCAGAGCAAAATTTGGCAGAACAACCCAGTTTAGAGAAAACCTTGAGAGACTGCCTCAGTGTGTGTTAGACACACGGAAGAGGGTATGTCAGAGACCGTGAGTTCAAATATCGAGGGAAGAAGTCAGAGAAAATGAAGGTGGGTTTAGATGCAAGGAGACCTGGGGCATTCTGAATATGGCAGTGCTCTGGTCTCTGGATAACAGAACGGATGAGCGGACACAGTAAAGTGTCCACAGGAGGTGAAGCAGGTGAAATAATGACGTAATGACTTCGACAGAGAGGGTGAGGCGGTGACTAGAACTTCTGCCACATTAGTATTTTATCAGTGCCTGAGAAGTAGTGTTATGGAAATACATCATGCTCACACCTCACATAATGAATTTTCAAGAAGGCTCCTCTCATGCCTAGTTTCGTCCTTCTCAAGCATCTGTAGGGAGAATGATTCATTCACTGGTTCATTTGCTATGCAAACACATACACCATCTGCTAAGAACATGCCCCTTCATGGCAAACACCAAGATGAGTAGGAAGGTAGACTTGCCTTCTGCAGTGCTGCCACCTGGTACAGCTACAGCAGCACACAACCAAAGGACAGGAGCAAAGAAAGGTGGTCACAAATCATGGGGAGGAGTGACCACACAACTCAAGACTCACTCATATTCCCCAGACTTCTGAGCATCAATGTTCTCTGCCCTCCCTCAACAGCTATGTCCTCAGAGAACAAAATAAAATTTTGAATTTTCTAGCTCAATGAACCATGTACCTAACCAACTATAAAACTCCAGAAGAAATGGCTTGTTTTCAAAAGCGTTGATAATAGGCTAAACTGTAAAGTTTATAAAGTCCTGAGTTGAGTACAAAATATGCTCCCTGATTGAGTGCATTGATTGGTGAAAATGAGGCATCAGACATGTACTAGGCTACAGTTAAATGATTAGCAATGTTGGAAATCACATTAGGAGTTTATATTTCTGAAGTTGTTAGGGAATGACAGAAAAAAGTCACTCTAGTGCCTCAATGCAAAATAAGGAGAGAAAATATTGATTTCTCTAAGAACAGAGAAGGATTACTATTGGAATCTGAAGGAAAGGTATCTTCTTACACATTACACGGTCTTGGTAAACATTTAGAAATTGAAATTTTAAGCTCAATACTTCAAATATTTGTCAAAAATTAATTATCTGTCAAAAATACTCCCTTCCCACTCCTACACCCACTACTGACTCAATTCGGCAAAGCAAATTCAATTTCATTCTGGTCTAATGACAACAGATGGCTTTCATATTAAGCAATTTGAGTTATGTGATAGCAAACAGTGTCCTCTACAAGCATTTCTCTTATCTCCTATCAACCTCAAAATAAAAAAGATAACCTGTACTTAAATTAGACAAAGCAGGGAGAAAAAAAGGAAAGATCTCTTAGAAAACAATGTCAAGTATCAAGTATCCCATAGTGTCTTATATACGGGATTACCAAGTATTTCGCTAAAACGGTGTTTATAGCTGTTAAGCCCAAATATTTTATTCTTGACATGAGTTTTATATACACTTATGTTAGAAGCCTTCCTTCTCACTTACCTATTCCTTTTTTTTCTAAATCCTCACCCAAGGATATTTTTTTTATTGATTTTAGAGAGATGGAGAGAGAGAGAGAGAGAAACATTGATCAGTTGCCCCCCGTACATGCCCCGACCAGGGACTGAACCTGAAACCTTTTAGGGTACAGGATGACCCTCCAACAGACTGAGCCACCCGGCCAGTGCTCACTTGCTTACTCTTCATTGTTAGCTATAAGAAGCTGATCATGTTAATCCAGGGTGATCTGATAAACCAAGAATGATAAACAAGAAAGAATATTTTCTCTGAAGAATAGAAAAAAAGGAGTATTTTTGGAAGTATGTAAGTACCTAGAAAATCATAGATCATTTCAGTTCAAGGTGTGGTGCCTAAAATAATCATACCCATGACAGCTACTCTGACTGTACAATGACTTCTTGGGCCAATGCTTGGAAAGAAATAACTGCCCATCCTCAATTATCGGATCTTTCTGCTGCAAGATCCAGTGTATATTGAAAAAATAATTACATATTATTAGTTCAAAATCTGTTACTGAACATTCTGAGCAACATGGCAACAAATGCAAAAAGTGCATGTTGCCAAAAATACCAGTACCTGAAACAGTTGAGTTTTTCCCTTTCAATTCCTGTGGCTTTCACTCTCCCCACCTTCCTGGAGTAACTTTATTCCCAGACTTCTAAAAGCCTCCTACTCCAAAGTGTTCTGCTCCCATCTTTCATCTGCATGTTCATCCTGTCGATTTTTTGTCTGTAAACCTTCAACAGCTAGTCAGTATGCATAAGGACATTTGGAATCCCCTGGCTTGGCATTCGAGGCCCTATCAAAATTGACCCTGGCCTACATTTTCATCTTGTTAGCTTCCCTTTGAGATGCCTCTCCTTCTTCACCTGATACTGTAATGATGGTTCAACAAAGCAATCCAACAGCCTCCTTCATCTCTGTTCAGGATAACCTCTCCTCCTGTTTTCCCACTCAACCCACTCGTAATGTTTTCCCCATGTGCCTCTGCTCATCCAATGTTTCCCCAAAATTTAAGATGTAGCTCAAGTTAATCCATAATTTTCTCCTTTAATTATATAGCAGTTGACATAGAAACCATTATTTGCCACAAAAATTTAGAGAGACATATTGAGATCATGTAATCCATCCAAGTCCTTCATTTTGCACACAAAATCATCTTTTACTAGTACTTTGTGCTTTTATATAATTCCCATCTTATATTTTTTTTCTTATGTCCCATAGGAAATAACAGAACATAAATATTTTTTTAACTTGTTAGGTGACACTTAAATAAATGTGACTTCGTCAAATGTATCAAAAACCAGCAAATAAATGTGACTTCGTCAAATGTATCAAAAACCCTTTGGTGGAAAGTGGTAAGAAGACAAGCAGGGCATTTTGACAGCGTCCCATGAAAATCACAGCAATATAAAAATACTGTTTTTAATTATCAACTCATTTTGGCAGACATGTCTGATCTTCAACACATCAGGGGACTTCAGAGAGAGATGAGACTCTTGGATGGGACAAGCCCCTGGATGGAGCTCTATGTCTGTTTTGCATGTTCCTGAGTATTTCTTAAAAATCTGACAACAGTCTATTTGCTTCTGTTGAAGGTCATTTTGCTTTGGACTGCATCAAAACAAGACCCACACAACAGAAGAGCCATGCCAAAATGTCATGCACTTCCAAGTAGCTGGCCTGGATTTAATAACTTTATTTCTGGAGCACATATTGTTTCCATGTATAGTATAACCAAAGCGCTCCCAATATGCCTTTTGCCCAAGCAATATAAAATCGTATTATTTTCTATAAATCTTCTATAATAATAAAAGCATAATATGCTAATTAGACCGGATGTCCTTCCGAATGACCTTCCGGACAAAGCTGCGGCAGGCGGGGGCCCAGGCAGAGGCGGCTGCCTCAGCAGGGGCCAAGCCCCTTGCACAAATTTTGTGCATCGGGCCTCTAGTTTCTAAATAATTATAGAATAATTGTTTTATATAATAATATCTTTTCTAGAATAATATCTCTAAGTCACAAACAAAATAAAGACATTTTGCAGCATTGAATACTGTCAAAACGACTGCAGATTTTATGGGCAGTACTTCCGAGCACATTGCTATGAGGTAATTAAATATAGTAAAGATGTTACCTTTCAAAAGTATTACCACTGTAAGTCATCTATTGCGAATTTAAGTGTCATGCTAATAAATGCTACACAGTAAGAATCTACCCTGGAACAAAAACGTAAGAGATGTACAGTGTTTTCAATTGAGTTACATTTAACTGAAGTGATTATTTATATTAGTATGAGTGTATTTGACAGATGTAATAAATAAATTGTAAAATTCCTACCTTGTGTCTGTTTCTTGTTCACAGCATTATCAGCTTTATGTCGTTTCTAAAGTTTAAAAGCAAAAATAAAAACTGTGAAAAAATGAGCAAGATAAATAAAACAAAATAGCACCTACAACAAGAGATTTCTTTAACTTATTTTCATACTCATATCAATGTCATAAATATGCTGCGGGTGTGATGATGGGAAGAATCAGAGGGTAATCAGGAATTTTAAAACTGAAAGCAATCCACAGTCCTTTCCCAGGAGTACAGGTGTATGTCCTCGGAAGATCTGACATTAGCATGCAGGTAAGATTTAAATGTTAACGTACTAGAAGAGTTTGCGCTGAAAGGCTGACTTAGTCATTTGCTTCAATAACTCACTTACAAAAGATTGCCCAAGAGAATTATCTATAATAACTACCATTTAATAACGGTACTGAAATATTTTCAACTTATAAAATCCATTATCTAATTAAGCTGATACCTCTTCTATAACTTAATGATGTGCTGATGTCTGTCAGTGACTACAAAACAAGTGCATCTTCCACTGGCACAAAGCCTCTTCCATCTACTGCTCCCCAAGAGCCTCTTTCCCCCCAAATCACAAGACACTGAATGCATGATCCTGTTCTCCTTCCTCCCAAAAGCATTAGGACAAAAAGTAAATAAACAGGTGAGTCAGTCTATGATTAGGTGGGTGAGTTTGAAGAGTTACAGAAGCCAAGGTTTTAGAGCAGTAAGGAAAAGAAACGGCAGGCCAGAGGAAGGTGAGAATTTGAATGACCAACGGAAATGAGAGGTTTTCCATGGCTTCTGTCTAAACGTATAGCATTGTGTGTAACACATCAGCTTCTGTTGATGCTGGAAAAAAGTGTCGAGTGTAACTGACTCTGTGTTCAAAGGTTCTATCATATAAAACCCATGTTCAGATTTAGCTGCATATATCTGACTATAAGGTAGGATGGAACAAATGCAAAACAAATGAGTTCCTAAGCTTTCCACTGAGGAGAAAGATGGCTTTTAGGGGCACAGGGCACATATGAAAACACTTTCCAAGAGAAAAGTCTGGAGGCACAGCAACCCTCAGGAGGACTGGCATAGTAGCTGGAGGTGAGAACTTGCTTCATCCCAATAACCAGCCAGTGAACGGCTCACAATGCAAGTGCGCATTCAGAACGCTTCTGTGGACGGCTTGTTGAAAATAATTCTTGCCACATCCACATGCAGGGACAATTCTTTCTCAGAATAAAACTATCATAAATAAAAGTGTAATAATGTACACTTTTAATAGGCAAGTTATTGCTTCCAAAAGCAAGCACACCATTTACCAGCAAATATTCTTAACTGAATTTTTTGAAGTTCTGTTACGTTTGTAGCTTCAGTAGAGTATATTATTCAGTAGAGCATGCTTACTCATTTTTGTTTGTTAATAAAGATTTTTTAAGAAAATGAACAGTAACCCAAAATAAATTTTAGACTGAAATAATGATCCAAGGTAAAAGTAGATACTCAGAGCAGGTGCAAATATTTCCAAAACAATGCGTACCTCTAATATATAATAGACTTTCAACGGAAGGAGACAAATAAAAGCTAATTAACAAAACATTCCACTTCTACAGGAAATTTAATCTTAGTGAAACCTAATGAGTTCCTGAACATTATTTTCCATCCACAGAGAATTCCTGTACAGAGCATCCCTTTCCTCAACCTTCCCACCACAGAATAAATTAGGCTACTTGTCAGGACATAATTGTGCTGAATATACATAAGGACCCACCCAGACAGGCAGATTCTAATCTGATGACTACAAAAAGAAAGCATCTTTGTATCTTAAAGAGATCATTATTCTAAAAGTAATAGTTTAGAAAAATTAATATAGTTATTCTCTGAATTCAAATACCTCCACTGTCTTGTAATCAGAATTCATTAAAACCAGTGAGACCTAGTGAATTATTTAATATTTTCAATATTTGGTTGACAGCACACCAATAAACTGGACTGTGTAAATAGTTCCATAAACTTCAGGACACTTAAGGATGCAATATTGGTTAATCCTACTTCTGGAAATTCTTCCAACCTAGACATTTCTTGTTACATCATCATCCAGGTCTTCTACCTGCACCTTGGCCCCTTCTTTTGTCTCCTTGCGTGTAATTCAGTGATGGAATTCCTTAAGGCTCACTCCCTTGCCCTCTTTCCTTCTCACCCTACACTCTCTTAGTTCATTCATACCTGCAATTCCAATGGTAACCAATACGTAAATATATACCAGCCAAAACTCTCATCTGAGTTCCAGACAGTTATATCCAGCTGCCTCCTTGACATCTCCCTCCAGCAGTCTTGTTAAACCATTCTTACAGACCATTTTTAGTTCATTTCTTAATACTTATTAGAAAGCTACTTCAAATGATACTATTACTATCCCATGATACTAATATAACATCCTTCAGAAACTGCCCAATTAGCTGTGTTCTAATAGGCGTTTTGTTAAAACAACAACAAAAAAACTTATTGGATACCATTCTATTTACCGTGTACTTTCATAAAGGGGGTATAAAAACATAGCTAGAAAGCTTCTAGCTTTGATAAGGAAAAGAAAAGGTAGAAGCGGCAGTTTGGAGCAATGATTGTAAGGCAGGAGTCTGGAGCCTTATTTGAATTCTCACAGCCCCACATAACGAGCTGTGTGAGCTTGGGCAAGTTACCTTACTACTCTGTGCCTCCTCACCCTCCTCTGTAAAACAGGGATAATACCATTTACCCTTGAAAGGGTTAATATAAGATTTAATAACTGTAAAGGACATAAAGCATGAACATGGAACCCAGAAGTTCACTGTTATTAATATTACTAGAGGCCCGGTGTACAAAAATTCGTGCACTGGGGGGGGTGGGGGGGTAGGGAGGGGGGTCCCCTCAGCCCGGCCTGCCCCCTCTCACAGTCTGGGAGCCCTCAGGAGATGTCCTACTGACGGCTTAGGAGAGCAGGGAGCGGGCCTAAGCTGCAGTTTGGCCTCCCTCTGTGGGAGGCAAAGGCAACTGGCCGATCAGGGGAAGGCGATGCCCCCATCATGCCTCTGCTGCTGCCACTGCTGGCCGCTGCCTGAGCCTCGGCCCTCACAGTGGCAGCCGCCATCCACGGCTTGCCTGAGCCTCAGGCAGCCACTGTGGCTTTGTCCGGAAGATATCTACCCCTTTTATTAGTATAGATTATCCTATATAATAAAGAGGTAATATGCAAATTAACCCTCACACCCTCATAAGATGGCTGCCAGGGGGGTTAGTGAGGGACGACCAAAAAACTGAACAGCAGGCTGCGTGGGGCGACCAGGCCGGCGGGAGGGCCGTGAGGGGCTACCAGGCTGGCAGGGGAGGCAGTTGGGGGTGACCAGGCCAATGGGGGGGGGCAGTTAGGTGTGACCAGGCCGGTGGGAGGATAGGGGAGACCAGGCTGGCAGGCAGGCGAGCAATTAGGAGCCAGAGGTCCAGGATTGTGAGAGGGATGTCTGACTGCTGGTTTAGGCCCGATTAAACTGGCAGTTGGACATCCCCCGAGGGTTCCCGGATTGGAGAAGGTGCAGGCTTGGCTGAGGGGACCGCCCCCCCGCCCCCGCATGAATTTCGTGCACCAGGCCTCTAGTTAGTATAGATTATTGGTGACTCGCCACAAAAATAAAGAAGAGCAATGGATGGGATAGAAATTCCATCACTTTCTTGGACAAGATACCTGGCCTCTCCAAGCCTCAGTTTCCTTACCTTTAAAATGGGGTTGATATCAACTTTCAAAAGTTATTGAAGGAATTAAATGAGAAAAACTTTTACAAAAACAAAAGCATAATACCTAGTAAGTAACAGATGCTCAATAAAACCTAGGTTAAACAAAGAAAAGGAAGCACAAAAGGCAAAGAAAGAGACAAAATTGTAATAAAGACCAATCTTTATAGCGTGCCAAATCCAACCTTCATTTGAAAGGTGGTAAGTCTGTGTGGAACAATACGAATGAGAAGGGGGCCCCTGTACTTTTCAGCTAGTGGTCCCCACCAAGTATGTTATTTGTAATCAAAAGAACTATAGTGTTTTATACACACTCACACACACAACCTCTGTTTGTACTCTTACACACTTAGATGTTTTTGACACTAATGAACTAAACCAGGGGTGGTGTGGCCCTGCAGAGGTATTAAGGGTGCATTAATTACATGTTTGACCATATATAGCAGGCTAATTTTTAAGCTGATCATTTTGTATGGCCTGCGAATGATGTTATAAATACCCAAATGGACCCTTGGCAGAAAAAAGGTTCCCCATCCCTGGTAAACAGTTGGCTGACCCATGTCTAATGGTCTAGTGATGCTATGGCTCATGTGTTCTCAGTGAGATCCCAATTGGATCCCCCGCAGCTATAATATTAATGAATGTTTGTGTAACTTTAAATCGGAGCTTTCTAAAGAATGTCTTGGCCTTTCCTCTCCTTACCATCTGACTTGCCTAAGGCTTGACAGAAGGTCCTTTGAGACAGGCAAATTATTTAAGGGCATAGAAAAAAATGTTGACTTCCTCAACTAAGGTAGGCAAACAACAGATAAAATAGGAGAAAAAGAAAAGCCTGAATTTATTTTGGGGAATGTATTTTATAAAAGGGAAACTGACTTCCTCTTTTCTTGGCTACTACGGAAAAATAAAAATAGCACATTCGCTGTTGCTTTCTTCTAATAAAACAAGATAAAAGAAAAGGAAACTTAGAACTACTAAAATAAGAAAGGAATCATAGGTATGTAATGAGGTGAAAACTAGGGTATATAAATTTAAAAATAAAAAATACCAAGAAACCCTTTACTACATTTAGATAGTTTGGAGGTTCTGTTTAACTTGAAACAAAGTTCAAGTTGAAAATTGAACATAATTAATAATGTTCAAATATATTTTTTCTAAGTCAATTATTTCATTCAAATTAATTTCTTTCATTAATAAACTACACACATAAAGAAACACTGTAGCAAGCATTTTGAAATGTTAATCATATAAAAATCAATAGAAATTAACTGCAGAGGTGGGAGGATATTCTACACACTTCTAAGTTAAATGGGCATTTAAGCAGCCTGTGTCAAGAATGAAATAACTGAAAGAAGGAATAATATTTTAAAACAGTTATATAAAACTAAAGAGTCACATTTACTTATGAAAAAAATCAAGTACTTACAATATCTTCTATTATTTCTTTGACAGCTGCCACAGCTAAAATAAATAAGAGAGGAACCAGTGTTGTATAGCGGCCTGTTGGTGATACATCAGGTATTTGCTATTTGAAGGAAAAGAAAAAGAAAGAAATCCAGTGAGAACTAGCAAGTTGATAATACATTTAAAAATGGTAACATCTTAGTGCCTCCTAAAATATGCTTCCTTGATTTGACTATCTTAGCAGACTGACACTGGGTAAGGTGATTTGCTTAAGTCTAAGAAGCAGCTGGAAGAGCATGTGAACTTGCTTCCTGGCAAGTGACGGACTAACACCTACAAAGGGAGCTTGGTTACATACGTTACAGTATATCCATATACTGATATATCATATGACCGTTAAAATATAATATTTTAGCTACACAATGAATCTCATGGGAAAATACTGATAAAGCAGGTTATGAAACGTATGTACTCTGTGGTCCCCTTTGTACACTAAATTAATATACAAGAAAAAAAAAGACCAGAAGGATAGACACCCAGATTTTAAGAGCGTAGTTGCCTCTCGGTGGTGGAATGAGTTATAAATTTTGTCTTTAGGCATTGATATGTTTCCTAATTCTTTCTACAATGGGTGTATGCTATTTTTTAATAAAATAAAACTTTTTCCCCCTGATTACAACTAACACAACTACAAAGAGAAATAAGATTTAAAGGGATAATTCTTGTCTTCTAAGGTTCAGAATTGACAGTTACATTGCTACTAAAATAAATTGATGTTTTAAGAAATTGCCCCATCCCCCTTAGAACCCAAACGGATAGTCCTCGCCACATCAAATTTACAGAATGTTTAAAAATAAGCTGATAAAAATGAATGGAAAGACTAAAAGAGGTAGTGAAATTCTAACACGGCTGTACCAGAAGCTGGAAATGTCCACCCAAACCAGCTGATTTCTCTGTGTTCGTATAAGTTTCGGAAGATTGGTCACAGGCTTTTATTAAATCCGAACATCTGCTGTCGAACTAAGGTTTTAGGACAGGATTTACCTGAAGCAGTGCAATAAAGAGAAAGAATGAATTGGCGGCTCTTCTGAACTGAGAGTAGAGAAATCGTGGAAGGAATGTGATGATGTTGTATTTCGCAGTGCTAGAAAACAAAATGAAAAGCAGCATAAAACTTAATTGCTCCACAATTAGCTCCAACGTTTACAAAATTCTAGTATCACCATCTGCAAAAGTACATGAGGAGCCTCTGTCCTCTGCTTCAAGTTGGGAGACTATTGCAAATGGTCATTAACCTGAATGAAAAGGAGTGAAAGGAACTGTATAAATGAACAGTAAGACTTTCACTTTCCGCCTAACATCTTTCTTTCTCCTTGGTCAGCCATCCTGTTTAACATTACCAGGGGTAGCTTACAAAGAAGAGCAACTTCACTTAAGAAAATGTATAATACATTCATTGAAAATAAAATCTTGCAAAAAAACCAAAGTCAGCAGTTTGAGCAGCAGGACCAGAGAGACTTTAAGTAGAGATGCCGTCCCTGGATAATGTTAGAGAAATGGGGAGTTTCCTGGATTTGAATTTTCTTCACGGACCCTCTACGACTTTGGCTAGGACTCCACACTGAACACTTGAGATACAGCCAGTCAGTCACAGTTTAGGTGTTAGAAACATCCAATCTTCCTCTTGTTAATAACAGAGAGGAGATTAAAGGGACACACGCCACACTCCCCAAACTGTGAAAAGTTCCTCTTACTTGAATTTTAAGTTGTAAATGTTCACTTTAAATGGGCATGTCTCCAGTTTAGGAATGTTGCCAATGGAGAAACACCGGGCAAGCATTGGGGGTGCTCACTTGGTTCCAGGGGCCACTAAGTGAATCGGGCTTATAACAGAGATACTTTTATATTATTGTTGCAATGAATATATAACAATGGAGTAATTCTCACAGCCCTCCATTCCTCACCACCATACTAAATTTTGCAACTATTTAACCAAAAGGAGTTATCCGTGAAGAATGGCAAAGGACCTCTTCTAAAATGTGAAAACTTGTTAACCCCACACAATAATCTATTAACAGGTTTAACACAAAGGGATTACCCATGAGCAGCGGCTTATCCTTTCTGCTCCTTCCTTATTGGCTAGAAGATGGAGAAAACTCTCAATATTAACTGATGTAACCGCAAGCTCTTTGCAATCCTTTTCGTTTTGGCTGGGAGAGGGCCCAAGGACTTGGCCTGCTGGCTGGTCCCAGGTCATTCGTTAGCAGGTCCTACCTGACGTGGTTGTTGCAGAACTTGGTCAGCTGGGGCTGGTTGATGAATATAGTGCGTATTTCTTCCTGGTCTGCCAGGGAAGTCTTCTCTGAAACATCATCGGTCTTCTCATAACCTTAAAGAGAGAGAGAGTCTTCTTACTCGATAAGAATTATTTCATCTAAACCAGTGATGGCGAACCTATGACACGCGTGTCAGAGGTGACACGCGAACTCATTTTTTTTGGTTGATTTTTCTTTGTTAAATGGCATTTAAATATATAAAATAAATACCAAAAATATAAATCTTTGTTTTACTATGGTTGCAAATATCAAAAAGTTTCTATATGTGACGTGGCACCAGAGTTAAGTTAGGGTTTTTCAAAATGCTGACACACCGAGCTCAAAAGGTTCGCCATCACTGGTCTAGACCAAAGCCACATTTCATAACTATTCCAGAATCTAAAATCTGTTATAAGCTGCATGCATCTCCTTATTGGTCTTGTTTATTTCATGATAAAAAGAAAAAGCCCCACATTTAATATTTCTACTAAATTTAAAAGGCAGCATTTAATAGTATGTAAAAACTGACCCGTTTCAAAAACAGTGACCGATTTCCAATTTTTGTTCATCTTTCCCCCATATATGTTCAACTTACTTTATTTCCTCCCAATACATAAGAATGTGTCCAAAAGTAAAAAAAATTTGAAATTGGTTTACATTATAGTTTTAGACAAGAACTGACAAGACAGAGGTAATTTAAAATATATTTTAAAAATTTAAGCATACATATTGAATGCTTTTGTTTTTTCTTTCCTTTTTGGATGAAGACAGAAAAAAGATGAACAATGAGGTTTAAATAGGAAACCACCACAATTACTTAACTCACTGTGACCATCTTACTCTTTTCACTAATTAGAATGTATGCTCACAAACAAATTTAAAATGTTTTTCAGATCAAGTCATCTCACGATCATTGTAACAATTCAACAGATTCAGGCAATTTCAACTAGGAAACGGCTTATTGCAAAGTTGACGGTGGTTTTAAAAAAAATACATGTAAGTTCTAGAAGAATAAAACAATTTAAACTGCTTACTTTACCCTAGCGAGAATTCAACGAGGCTGGATTAAATCATTCCCTCCCCCTTTGCTAGAGAGGCTCACACCAACAGTACTCTACCTCAAGTACCCACTTTCCTTCTCTTTTCTGCCAAGCCAATGCCAACTCCTCCCTTAAGAGCTGCAACTTGGGGTCTCTCACTGAAGTCAGTGAACCTTCTCTGTGTTCCCACAGTCCTCCATGCTCCCCTCTCCCCAGCAAAACACGTACCTGAACGTTTCCTTACTGCCTGCTTGTGAGTCAGTCTCCCCCTACCAAAAAGGGAACTCCCTGAGGCTACGGGTGGCGTGTTACTCATCTTCCTAACACGGCACAGGCAGCAGGTACTTGGTAAACGTTTGCCGAATAAACAAACACCACATGACAAAGGAGTGGTTATTTGGCCGTTTTTTTCTGGGGCAAGTGAATGCTTCTCCACCCAATGATAAGGACACCAAGGCAGCCAAGAGCTGGTAATCATCTGTGCTCTAAGGAAAGCTGGCCTGTGGGGTTTTGTTGCTGCATGAACCGGGAAAATCACTCAGGCTTTCTACAAAGGGGAGGAACATGAGCATGGAGACCCAGGGTGCAGGGAAGAGCGTAGAGTGTGCGGGGGAGTGGGAAGAGGACAATAAAGATGAAGCACAGGCAAAGGCCAGGTAGAGACAGGTGAGATACGGCACTAAAAAAGCACCCAGGCTGGGTCTGAGGGCCCCTGTCATGCTTGTGAAGAAGTCTGGATGGCATCCTCTGGTTGGCAGCCAGCTTTCCAGGTAGACAGGCAGGGAGTGAGAGTCACGGTTTATACTCGGCACTCGGGTGTCACACGGCTCCACGTAAGTACTGTGACCCTCATTTTACAGTTAGACACATCAGCAGCTTGGCCCATGGTCAGTCACTTGGTTCATAATTTTCTTTCACTACATCATGTGCTAGATACAACACTAGCTTTCCCTCCTAGTTTCATAGAATCCAAATTTCACATATGTATTAATACAGACCAAATGTTTGTGCCCCTCCAAGATTCATCCCTCAAAGGGGTGGTATCAGAGGTGGGCCTTTGGGAGGTGATTAGGACATGAGGGTTGAGCCCTCGTGAATGGGATTAGTGCCCTTGGAAAAGAGACCCCAGAGAGATCGCTTATCTCGTCCATCATACGAGGACACAGCGAGAAGACAGCCATCTCTGAACCAGGAAGTGGGTCCTCACTAGACATTCAATCTGCTGGCGCTTTGATCTTGAGCTTCCCAGCCATCAAAACTATGAAGTTTTGTTACAGCAGCCCAAACAGACTAAGACATGGGTTATCCAACAGAGGCACAGCAACCTTCAACATTCTTTTTTTTTTTTTTTTTAAATTAAATCTTTATTGTTCAGGTTACATTTGTTCCTCTTTTTTTCCCCCCCATAACTCCCCTCCTCCCAGTTCCCGCCCCATCCTCCGCCCTCACTCCCCACCCACTGTCCTCATCCATAGGTGCACGATTTTTGTCCAGTCTCTTCCTGCATCTCCCATTTCCCTTTCCCCCCCAAGAATAGTCAGTCCATTCCCTTTCTATGTCCCTGATTCATTATAATCACCAGTTCATTCTGTACATCAGATTATTTATTCACTTGGTTCTTAGATTCACTTGTTGATAGATGCATGTTTGTTGTTCACAATTTGTATCTTTACCTTTTTCTTCTTCCTCTTCTTAAAGGATACCTTTCAGCATTTCGTATAATACTGGTTTAGTGGTGATGAACTCCTTTAGCTTTTCCTTATCTGTGAAGCTCTTTATCTGACCTTCAATTCTGAATGATAGCTTTGCTGGATAAAGTATTCTTGGTTGTAGGTTCTTGGTATTCAGCACTTTGAATATTTCTTGCCATTCCCTTCTGGCCTGCCAAGTTTCTGTTGAGAAATCAGCTGACAGTCGTATGGGTATTCCCTTGTAGGTAATTGAGTCTCTTTCTCTTGCTGCTTTTAAGATTCTCTCTTTGTCTTTTGCTCTTGGCATTTTAATTATGATGTGTCTTGGTGTGGTCCTCTTTGGATTCCTTTTGTTTGGGGTTCTCTGCGCTTCTTGGACCTGTAAGTCCATTTCTTTCACCAGGTGGGGGAAGTTTTCTGCCATTATTTCTTCAAATAGGTTTTCAATATCTTGCTGTCTCTCATCTTCTGGCACCCCAATTATTCTGATGTTTGTACGCTTGAAGCTGTCCCAGAGGCTCCTTACACTATCTTCGTATTTTCGGATTCTTTTTTCATTTTGCTTTTCCGGTTGGGTGTTTTTTGCTTCTTCGCATTTCAAATCTTTGGCTTGATTCTTGCGCTCCTCTGGTCTGCTATTGGGTGTCTGTATAATATTCTTTATTTCAGTCCGTGTATGCTTAATTTCTAGTTGGTTCTTTATCATAGCATCGAGGGTCTCATTAGTTTTCGTGACTCTCTCCTCAAGTTTATTGACAGCTTCTAGCACATTTTTGCAAGCCCTCAAAATTGCGATTTTTAGCTCTATATCCTCCATTTCTGTCATGTTTTTTTGTCTCCGCATTTTTTATGCTTTCTTGGTGCACCCCCTAGTGGTCTTTGTGCGCAGTCTTGTTCTAGTTGAGCCTTGATTGTTGTAGTTAATACTAGAGGGATTTGACCACCAGGCCGACTGGCTGTGTGAATCAGCTGTGTCTGCCGCGGAAAACTTCTGTCCTCTGGGGAGGTGCTAATCTAGCCTTTGCCTGAGGCGATCTGGCAAATGGCTCTGCGCAGGGCTTGGGCGGGGCGGGCTCAACAGGGCGGGCGGGCGGAGGGAGCGGTTATGGCCCCTCTCAGTCCCGTTCCCAGAGGCTCTGCTTCTCAGAACCCCCGGAACCGCTGCAAACCTCGGAGGGAAAGCTGCCTTCCAACTGATGCCAGACACTCCCGCTTCTCCCGTTTGGGTCCGAGTCCCCAGCGATTCGCCCGTATCTGGAGCTCAGAGTCTGAGACTCCCCCCTGACCGAAAACGACAACCGCGCTCTCAGCCACCAGCCCGCTTTGCGCGCGCACCTCCGCACCTGAGTTTTTTCCACACTGCGCCTCCTCTGAGCCTCGGTGTGCTGTTATTTTTCCTTCTAGTTGAAGAGTCTCTCCTCAGCCAGCCTTCCTGCGGTTCTGGGTGATGTCCGTTCCGTCTTTTAGTTGTATTTTTGAAGTGGTTGTTTGCGGCAGCAGTCTGCGGTGTTTACCTATGCCGCCATCTTGGTCTCTCCCTCAACCTTCAACATTCTTAAAGATGTTCCTTAATGACAGCGCCAAGGGCACAGTGCACTGTTCATGGCACCACACCTGGACAGACAGCCTCAGGAGCACCAGGTCTATGCTCTGCTCTGAACTGATACCCTCAGGCTGTACTTTATGTAACTGGACTGTTAGGGGCCTGGGCCCTTGGATGTTCTTAGCTGAGGAGTTAGGCGTCACTCCTCCTGACATACCCATTTATATTGGGATCTCAAAGGCTGCTAGGGGGAGTTGGACATCACATCTCCTCACCTATTAATTTGTATTCAAGAATTTCTAAAAAGCAAAGGACAAAGGAATTAGAATCAACACCTTCCCCAACATGAAAGCTAGAGTAATTAAAACAATTTTGATGGACTAGTACAGCCGTGGGCAAACTACGGCCCGCGGGCTGGATTCGGCCCGTTTGAAATGAATAAAACTAAAAAAAAAAAAAAAAAGACTTTTATGTAATAATGTTTACTTTGAATTTATATTAGTTCACACAAACACTCCATCCATGCTTTTGTTCCGGCCCTCCAGTCCAGTTTAAGAACCCATTGTGGCCCTGAGTCAAAAAGTTTGCCCACCCCTGGGTATGTCCCCAACCAAGGTCTGATAATAAGGGACCTTTAAGAAAAAAACTCACCAAAATGAGGGGGAAAGTCTACACTGGTGACCTGTTCTCAATGAAACAAGAAAATAGAATATGTATAATAAAGACAGTCTATGCCAGCGGTTCTCAACCTGTGGGTCGCGACCCCTTTGGGGGTCGAATGACCCTTTCACAGGGGTCGCCTAAGACCATCGGAAAACACATATATAATTACATATTGTTTTGTGATTAATCACTATGCTTTAATTATGTTCAATTTGTAACAATGAAATTGGGGGTCACCACAACATGAGGAACTGTATTAAAGGGTCTCGGCATTAGGAAGGTTGAGAACCACTGATCTAGAGGGTATTATGCTAAGTGAAATAAGGCAGACAGGGAAAGACAAATACCACATGATTTCACGTATATGTGAAATCTAAAAAGCAAAATAAGCAAACAAATAAAATAGACACAGGTTCATTACCAGAGGTAAAGGGCAAGGGGGCAGGGGATGTAGAAGAGAATAAGGGAGGGATCAATGGTGATGGAAGGAGGTTTGATTTGGGGTGGTGAACACACAATACAACATACTGATGATGTATTATAGAATTGTACACCTGAAACCTATATAATTTTATTAACCAATGTCACCATAATAAATTCAATAAAAACTTTTTTTAAAAAAGTTAAGACTCACAGATAGAGAAAATAGTCTGATGATTGCCAGAGGGAAGGTGGGTTAGGGGTGCTGGGTGAAAAAGGTGAAGGGATTAAGTAGTACAAATTGGTAGTTATAAAATAGTCCTGGGGACGTAAAGTACAACATAGGGAATATAGTCAGCAATATTAAAATGTTCAGTGCCAGGTGGGTACTTGAAATGTGGAGGGGACTACATTGTAAAGTATATGATTGTCTAAGCACTATGCTGTACACTTGAAACTAATCCTATATAATAAAAGGCTAATATGCAAATGGACAGAAGGGCGGAACGACCAGTCACTATGATGCGCACTGACCACCAGGGGGCAGATGCTCAATGCAGGAGCTGCCCCCTGGCGGTCAGTACACTCCCATAGGGGGAGCACCACTCAGCCAGAAGCCAGGCTCACGGCTGGCGAGTGCAGCGGTGATGGCGGGAGCCTCTCGTGCCTCCATGGCAGCGCTAAGGATGTCCAACTGACGGCTTTGGGAGTGGACCTAAGCCATCAGTTGGGCATCCCATAAGGGCTCCTGGACTGTGAGAGGGTGCAGGATGGGCTGAGGGACTCTCCCCCCCAGTGCATAAATTTCGTGCACTGGGCCTCTAGTACAAAATAACATTAAATGTAAACTGTAGTTGAAAAATAAAATAAAAGGTAGGACCAGTAGAGGGACGGAATGGTTCCAGGCACAGAATACTGCGGATGCCATAGGCTTTCTTCACTCAGGCACGATGAAAAAGCCTTGGAAAGGTAGGGCATGTGCATCTGATATGGAGCACAACCCTTGGGGCTGTC